AAGGAAGGCCTTGATGTACACTTTGTGGATGACTACCAGCAAATATTTGATTTGGCATTTTGATAGCTAGAGTACAGAATATTTAAGTTGTTTTGGTGACAAATTGTCCACCTGTAGGCTGAGTTCGCCATCTCATTCATTCTGGACCTTATGCCCGGAGATGTAATTTTGTTTTGCTCCCTGTTTCATATTTGCATGTGCACATCAATGTCGAACAAGCAGCCTTGATTTTTTCACCATTAAATCATATAATTCATAAATCTCAAGGACATGGATTTTCCCTTTTGCCAAGAACGGAAGGTAAGATTTGACGGAAGGGGAAGTCTCTTAAATTTACTTTAGCTTCTATATAGCAGACTCCTCGGCCATCACTGTTTCTTGGATATGGATTGATGACTTCTTGCCATCTTTATTTTCTTACAGGCAAAGAAAGACGAAAGAAGGGAAAAAGGAAGGAAGAAACAGAAAACACGGAGAGACCTTATTTCAGTTTCCATCACCAGAATACGCTATTCAGCAAGCGGGTTGCAATAGCTAGTATTGATGTGTGTGAGACTCTTTCTTAGTCACGGGCAGTTTTCGTCTTTAGCCTATATTTTCAAAATACTAGCTTGCTGAGTGCAGTGTCGAGAATCAAATTCCCCTACAAAAGAAAGGTGGACATGTTGGTGCCTCCATTGAAAAAATAAACAACTGTTGTACTCTTAATAAAAAATCTTTAAAGCCGGGTATCAATGCCAAACCCCAAAAATGTCTGAATTCTTGATTTGACTAGGTACTAATTCAAAAATGTCTTTCCTTTCAATATAGGTGAAGAGAGAACCAGCTTTTGGTTATGATACTCTTAACTTCAAACTTTCCCTTTTTTGTTAGTCTTTGTCAAGAGAGATAACAACTTTATAACTCTTGATTAATGGGGGTCCCTTTTCTTTCAAATGTACCATTTGTTTGCGTTAGATCTTTTAAGCCTGTCGTCTTACGGAGTGCAACGTACGAAATCCGGCATCATAAAGTCCAAACTATGTTCACTGATCTTGCAAAATTTCCCACTGCAATGGCAGGGCGATAATTTAGAAGCTGAGGATCGGATTGGTATGTAATGGTCATTGAAGAACATCGAAGATATTTTGTTCCATCCAAGCATTTTAAACATGAAATAAAGGAAAAAGAATCAACTCTTGTCGATGCCGATGTTTGGTACAGACGGACTCAAAACCTCCATTCTCTTCAGCTAACTTCAACTGAAGCAAATGCTAAAGTAAAAAGCTATAAGTGTTTCTTCTTTAAATTATAAGTTCTGCTAAAAATTTGGTGTTGAAAGACGCCACTGACATTATAAAGAGTAACTCTATAAGAGATCACATTTACTTATGAAGGGAGTATCTCCTTTCGTGAAACTCCATGTCTTTGTGGATTTACATGTTCATCATTCATCTACTAGGTTTGGACTCGTAGGTGATGGTTTTTACTACCATTTGCAGCAGAATTGTACATAGAAAGCTCAACAGTTCAGAAGGGCCTCAATGTTTAGAAGGATAGCATATATCTTTACCAGCTAAATGCATACCAAAGTGAAGTAAATAGCAGCATTAACTCAAAGGCGTATAGCATGCTATAGGTCAGCGCAGTAGGCTGCAGTCTCGGTTGCAAATAACGTATCAGTTGCAATCTCATGATAATTGTGATGCGCATGAGGGGTGCAAATATTACCTTACGCGAATCTAACATTGGAATGAGAGAGAAAATGAAGAGCTTTATAAGGCACCACCAAAGTTCACATGGTACGCACCCTTTTGGGCTTAATGATAACGTAGCCCAAGGGACAAATTCATGAGGTTTGTTGGGCCAAAACGGACAATACATGACATGGGGTTGATCGTGACAATAATTTCCCCCCTTGAGATTTTTAGATGGCTAATTTTTTAAGGAATTTTTACCTCCTATAGCAAAGGTTAACACCTTATTTATTTTAAATAAATATCATTTAAAAAAGTTATATTCTATAGATACCTTTTAATGTTTATAGCAAAATATCTAATTTTGGTTACCTCCTAACCCTAAGCCACTAAATATGCTATTCAGTTACACTATTTTCTTTCTCTCTCTAATTTGATACGCTATTCAATAATGAACCGGACTCACACAAACTCTGCTTCACCGGCGTGGAATTAAGCAAATTATCAGAAGAAGAAGGCCCCTCATTACCCTGTCTCTTCATATACAATCTATACTTCTGTAAATGACTCGCCACGTTCTCTCGCGTCAGTCCTTCCACATTCATAAGCTGCATAATCGTCTTCGGCACAACGTTTTTGATACCTGAGTGGGCCACCACTTCAATTCTGTGATTTCTACATCTTCTGGGATATGGTATTTGAAGGCTTTGACGTTGTTTTTTGCCATTGTGGCGGTCTTATCGACTGTTGCTTCTGCTCAGGAAGTGACCTCGGCTCCGGCACCATCGCCGGACCAAGGCGGCGCGTTTTCACTATCGGCTTCCGGTGAACGGCGGATTCGCCGGAAATTAGGGTTTGTTCTTGAACAAAGACGGCGGAGTTTGGGGCTGAGCAACTTGATTTTCTATTAAGATATTTTAATATATTTTCATGTATTTCATTGTATTCATTGTCTTTTTTTTCATTGTAATTCAATGTATCTCGTTGTATTCCATGTATTTCATTGTATTCACTGTCTCGCTATATGCCATGAATGTATTCATATGTTTTTTTTAATTAATATAATTTATGTATTCAGATGTATTATATAATTTCTCTGAAGATTGCTATGTTTTTGGGTATTTTTCGGTTGAGAATCTTTTTTATAACTGAAAATACAAAATTTGTGTGTTATAATTGAGTTTGTTGAGTTATATTAGGAGTCTATTATGTTAATTGATTCACTTTCCGTTTTAAAAACAGTGTAATCCCCTATTTCACGCCGCGAATATAGTCGAATACAATAATCTGTCCAGTTGTAATCTCATGTTTCACTCCATGAATACAGTCGAATACACTCGAATACAACAATTGATTAGCCGGACTTCCCTGATTCACGCCTATTTTTGCTATTGTATTCATGAATACAATAGCTTAAATACATCTTATAACCACAGAAAAAGGTATCTGTAATCCATAATACAACAAATGGTATCTATAGATGGCTAATTACTACTAAAAGATAGTGCTTTATGAAAATTTCTCATTTTTTTAATCTACATAAATCTTTTCAAATCCTACATAATACCTTGTCCCTTTACTTATGCTGTTCCGGTTTTTTTTCTGTCTTCACTCTACTTCTTCTTTGTATATAATGCATTTATATTTGTAAATTTATACATATTATATACACCTCTTTGTTCCTTCGACATCTTCTACCCGGAAGCATTGAAATTGCGCAGTAGGCGGACCACCCAGAGGCGGATGCAACATATACTCGACAGGTTCAATTGAACCCATAACTTTCGACGCGGAGTAAAAATTTATATGTAAAAATTCATTAAAATTACAAAAATAGTTGAGATGAACCCATAACTTTAAAAATATAATGGATTCAATGCTAAATTTTTTAAAAGTTGAGCCCATAGGATTTAAATCCTAGATCCGGCTCTGGGAGGGAAATCCTTATACCACTATCAAGCCATACCGGGCAATGAGGCTGATGCTACTACCGATACAGAGAAAGACAAGGACTTTCGAAATTTTGATCCCTTCCGCTCCGTTCGTTCCGAACTCCCGAGCGAAGTTTTGGCATGTCAATTTCTCATGGCTAATATAGGTAGGTCCAGAGCTGGCTAGTGTTCAGAAGTCACTTAAGAGATTGAATATATGACCTATAAACAAATCTACATATTTGATGTGTGTATTATACATATTTAATGTATCATTTGTGTTTTTGGTGTATCCAAATATATTTTATGCGTATTTGACATGAAATATTTTTTGGACTTCTCCATGTCATTGCAAACATAATAAAATATAACGTATATTTCACAATGTTATACATTAAATAAACAGTGTATATTATTGTTGTTAGGAGATAATATTTAACCTTTAATTTCACTGTAGTTTTAAAAAAATATATGGTATATTCAATGTTTTTATTTTAGTATTGTTTTAACTGTTATACTCGATATATAATAGTAATATTTGCTATTTATATAGAAGAAGAATATTTTTAGCAAGAAAAAAAAAAGAGATTGTTTGAATAGTTACAAACGTGATCCTCGGTCATTTTTTGAGGTGTATCATTAATTTTGGTGTATGATTCCTATATTGAGGTGTAAGATTCATTGGCTTTGTTTGATAAAGAGATACCGTGTATAAAAGAGAATCTTTGGGGATTTAATTTTGGGCGAAAAAACATGAATAGATATGCATATTTTCTTTAAATGTTGTCTAGTTATGTTCTCATTCTTTAGTCTTTAGTTAGGAAGCACAACGGAGAAATTTTCACCACACATGTGAAGAACCTCTCTTAGAGCCAACGACACTTTGACTTTCTATAGTTAGTACATGCATGTTTTAATGTGTCAACAGTGTGGCTAAAAGCAAATTGAATTTGTATCAGCAGAGTGGTGAAGAGCTAAAAGAAAAACTTGGTTATATGATATAAGTAACACACAAGAAATAAAGTTCCACGTGTGGGTACGAGTTGAGGATAGCCGAAGCATGCCATATGTAAAAGATGGCCATGGACAGTGGAATGACAGTGGAATGATAATCTAGAGTTTGTCTTGTCAAGGTATGTCTGATCTTGTTCTTTTGAAATGATGAAATTTGAGAAATTCCAAGAATAAGCTCAAAGCAACTCTATATGTGCCAAAAAGAGCAGTTAACCTGAGATTGGACGATTCTTTATGATTTAAGAAGAATAAATATTGAAATAACACATGGAGCTAAGTTAAAGCTTTGACAACTTGTACATGTAATGTGCAAAAATCTCCAACGCAAAAGAAGAGTGTCCAGCTAGTGGAAGCCTGAGAACAACAGATTTTGCAGATCTGAATGAATTTAACTCAAACATCCTTCAACTCCACCCCGAAAGAATTGCGTTCTGAATATTCTACACAACTGAAACGTAAAGCAATGCTCATTCTGGAAGCCCAGGAATCAATTTTTGAACTGATAAGCTACATAGATTTCAAAAGAACCTAACGCCTAGTGAACAGTTCTAATTTTAGTATTAACAGACCATGTTACAAGTTAAATTTGTAGAAGTACTTGGTGTCAAAGATTCTCCTGGTATCTGAACCAAAAACATATTAAGGAAAAAAGAGGGCATGAAGAAAAGAAATCCCTCACTAAAAGATGAAAAAAGATGGATAAGACAATGGAGTCGATTCAGGAAGTGTGTTGACTTTTTGCATTTGGTGGCAGCATTTTACTAGAATCATCTGATGAGGTTGATTTGTCACTAGGTTTGCTAACGGTTCCATCAATCCCCTCTTCTGTATTCATCTTTCTCTTCTTTGCTGCAGATTCAGAATTATCTTTTCCAGTTTCTAGGCTTTCCTCTTTCTGCCTGTCTTGCCCGCTCTTTTTCTCTTTCCCTTTCTCTGGTTGAGGTCCAAAATCCGATACAAATAATGGTGGTTCTCTTCCACTCAACCGACAGAATACTTGTTCAACAGTTTCACTTATTTCCTTTCCTATCCCATTGTTATCCAAAATAAGCTCCCAAACTGATTTAGAAGCTTTCTCAAGCACTGAAGTCCTACAGGAAAAATAGGGCGAACAGAGATTAAAAAAAAACAAATAAGGGCAACCAAAAAGAAAGACGATTTCATAAGACAAGCACTTATTCTTTGCCTCCTAATCTCAACATTGACTCAAACGAGAACAGTGATCATCTGTTGTTCAGCAAGGTCTGAAGCATTTAAAATAGGAAAAAGGCATACGCTCTGATTTTCTGCAGCTGAAAATTGGTCAATTCTCAAATGAGATGACATAGTTAAGATGTTGTGGGCATAATTCTAGAATAAATTAACCAGAGCAGCGGCAAGCAAGTAGGAATTTTAAGCATCATCACATCCTAAGCAGAATGCATGAGCATCTCCAAGTCCTGGTAAAAACTATAGAAGCAGAATAAATCTGACAAACTTGCATATTGGACAAGATTCAGATTTCTACCAGTAACAAATATTCTGGCAACAATGGACAACGTTGATTAAGATCATAGAATTTTCAAGCTCTAACTATAAAGCGCCAGAATCTCCAACAGTGCACAGCAGACGTTTAATATCAAGGTCCCAAATCCATTCATTTAAAAACTTCAATACTACAGCACAAATACAACCAATCAAACACTTAATTGAGATGTAACACAAGGTCAAGGGACTTCCTTGAAATGCCTTTTTACTCTTCCTATAGATTTAGTTTTGATCATTTTTTACTCTTCCTATAGATTAATGCACAATAACCCACAATTACATGTACCGATGTAGATATTTCTAACCCTCAACCAAAACAGTGTACAACAAAAAGTATGCCTCAATTCCAAGCTAGTGGGCCTCGGATATATGAATCCTCAATATCAGAAACGCTCTGTTTGGGTCCATAATATTTCAATTCCTTCGTACTTAAGGATTGTCTCACCCAAATAGTATAAGTAAAACAAATACTCATTGATTTCTAGGTTTCATCCTAAACCTAATTGGACACACCCAGAACTAACCGACCAGACACAAGGGGAGAAACTTGATCAGACACATAACTTACTATATGGACCATATATTATAAGTATAATAAGAAATATTTTTCCCCTAATATATTTCAATTCAATCTTCTAACAAGATTATGCAAGCCAGTCAAAACCCCAAGTTTTTATGCGAGCAAACGTAGTGAAAGTCAAGAAAACCATCAGTTTGACTGTTAAGTTATCTAACGGTAAGTTCTTTCGGCATGCCTGACTTGACTTTCGAGAATCAATGCAACTCAATGTCAGAATGTTTTGAGATTTTTCTATTTGTTAAGATTAATTGTATAGAATATTGTTGCTATCTTGCACAATTAGGAATCTCCTATTTGGATAATTTGTTTCATTTAATAACTCTCCTTGTTTCATGTAGGCTAAGCTTTTCCTATTATCAAATAATCTGAACTCCTACATAATGAGTCTCTCATAATTTAGGACCGATTTGGTCAAACTTCCAAAATCTACTTATTCTTAAATGACTTCTTTTCAAATAGTTTTCCAAGAAATACTTCTGGAAAATAGCAAATTGTATTTTGCCAAATCATCGGAGAAGTGCTTTTGTCAATATTATAGAAATAATTTGTGTTCGGCCAATCTTTCAAAATATTTTTTAAATGACAATTTTTTTTACAAACAAAAGAACATGTAAAGATTCACTTTACCATTGTTGTTATTTAAATAAATAACAACTTTATATATTCATTAGGAGAGACTTTAGTTGAGGTTGTTTTAATTTTATCACAGATGAATCAGCTTTCTATCGAAGAGAGCCTCTCTACCTTCCCGGTAGGGGTAAAGTCTTCGTACACACTACCCTCCCCACACCCCACTTGTGGGATTATACTGGCCTTTTTTTTTTTTTGTTGTACACATGAATCAACTTAAGGGGTGATAGTTTGAACAATATAAATTTCTAATAAGGGTTTTTTATTCTAAATAATATAATTTTCTGCTTTGAAGGAGAAGCTACATATTTTTCTTCCTTCTTGCAGTAGAAAAATTTGTTCCGACTATTACTCATAATCACTTGTCTCATACAAGGTCAAACACCTTGAATCTTCAAAATTAAGTATTTTTCTGGCGGTCAAGGCTTTGGTTCAACAGTAAGGAAGTAACAGAGCGAGATGTCTTGTGTACACTTCCCGAGTTCGAATCTTCTTGATGACTAAAGCCTGATGTTTAAGTGATAGTAGGGAAAAACGGGCAGGCTGCCCCTGCTCCCCCGACAGAACCTATGTGCCAACTAGGGAGCGGCCAAATAACCCACTGGGGATTTCTTAGTTATAAACAAAGGTATTTTAAATAAAAGCATTTCAAATTTTCCAAAAACTTGGTTAACTAGGCTATCAATATAAGAATTTTCTCTCCCACTTCTCTTTTTGCATGGCCTCAAAACCTCTGTAATCTAGGTATAGACTTAAGTAGTTTCTGCATGCAAGCAGGTGACGTTATGACTTGTCCGACTAAAGTTTCTCATTCTTAATTTTACTACTCTTGTGTATTTGGATGACCATCCAAATGACACAACTCTTTTTCCAAATGTTCGTTATGGCATCACCGTTCACAATTATGGCTATTGTTTCGATAGGATGTGTCATGTAGTCCCCCACTGACACATCAATGTACAACAGATAACATCTCATGTCAGTATTTTACTGCAAGCCTATCAAGTTAGTAGTATGCCAGCTTCCGGTCAGCTTCCATCATTATCCAATCACCAATAGTAGGTCATCAAACTCACTATTCAGATAATTTTTCTTATTTAGTAACTCCTCATTTCACGTGGTCTAAACTCTTTTTGTTTTCTAAGTAGTCTAAACTCCTATATGTTGTTCATGTAATGCAATATAAGAATTTTCTCCCTCCATTTCTCTTTTGACAATAAGCATGCATATGTCAGAAACTCTAAAGTCATCACATAAGCTTTTTATTAACCAGAATAAAATGTTAAGCTACTAAGGATCATCTGAAAATTTTCCATTGATTCCTCGGTTGATAAAGGCTGCAGAGAGTGACTATATGCTAGACACCTTCAGTAGCTTATAAGCAATGCACAAGTCCCAAACAGAAGGGGTCGGGGGCAGAAGCTCTTTTTAGTGAAACCAATTGAGTCCTACAGCTATCAACATACATTATATCTAGACTTTTATTTCACTTTTGTTGGTACCCAAAAGAAAACTGATGGTTTTGTGCATTACAGCAAGAAAGATGTAGAGAAAAGAAAAGAAAAAGTAAAACGAGGGTGAGTCCACTGACTAAGTGAGTACCCAATCAAAAGCTATTTCAAAATACAAGCACATAATTAGGTACAATAGCTATTACAAGTACATTTATAATACTCTCATTGTTGCTCACGCCCTAGGTCTTGGTCTAGTGATAAGAATGCAGCAAGTGATGTAGTGGGTTATGCACACGTCACAAGGTCGAACCACACCGCCAAATGAAAACCTAGTATTTAAGTGGATAACAGTAGAGGGGATGACCCATTATCTATCGAGTTTTGAACAACGCACCACAAACCCTCGAGCATTTCTAGGTTATGCAAAAAAACAAAAGAAAAAGCTCTCAACGCTCACTGTAGCATAGAACTATGGTTTGTTATGTGTCTTTAACCAAGTAACTGCTTCCCTAATCCTCAAGAAGTTGCAGACCCTAGTACGCTGCCAACCCTATTAGGCTGTTTGGATACAAATAAGCTCCACCACACGGGTGAGCAATATAATTCAAATACATACTCTCATCGTACCACAAGTACAGGCTCAAGCCTTAGCTCGATACAGAATTCGATGCTTCCCTATACATATTGAAATGTATCAGATTCTATATTTGCCAAAGGCTTGAGCTTGTACTTGTGGTACAAAATAAGAGTACGTATCTAAACTAAAACACAATCCGATTGACTTGCTCATCATAATGGTGGAGCTTATTTGTATTCAGCCAGTTTGGACGTTGGGGTTGGCAGCATACTAGGGTCCTTATCTGCTCAGAGATTAGGAGAGTTTGTTACTTGATTAAAAGACCCATAATGAATCATAATTTTGTGTTACTAGTGAACACTAATGAGAGTATCATTAATGTACTTGCAATAGCTATTGTACACAATTATGTGTTTTACTTGTATTTTTGAAATAGCATATCCATGATCCGGTGATTAGTAACTACTCGTTAAGCCGGTGGACTCACCCTCTCTTTTACTTTTTCTTTTCATTTGTTTAGACACAGACATAGACGAGGCAATTGAGAATTAGCAGGCATACTTGGAAGATGTCCTTTTGTGAGCATCTATGTTGCTCGGACTCTCCAAATTTCTCCGTGTGATCCTTCAAAAGTAGTGCATTTTTTAAGGATCTGCCACGGGTGCGGCACCATCCATGCAACATAGGTGAGCACATGCTGCTTCGTGGAAGCACTTTTGTTATTTTGTTTATTTGCATTATGTAAAGATTGATTCTAGAGTTATGCCCATGTACTCTAAAGTCCTAGTTTGGGGTTGTAGTCAATTTAATATCCTTAGCTGATATACCGGATAGCCCTAGAAGTAGGGGGGACTCTATTCGTTTTACGTGTTGAATGGATAGCCCTAGAAGACTTGCTTGGAGTTTACTCCCTAGGTGCCGGGTCGTAACACATATATTGAGATTTAACAAGTCCAAATTCCCAAAAGTCCTAATAAAATGATTCTTTCAATTTCAGTTCGTGTTGTCGAATTGAACTTCTTGAGATAATGCAGAAGACAAAACAGAAAAAATAACAAACTTACTCAAGTTCTTGCCGGAGTGCATCAAATAGCTCTCTTTTGGTCTGCTTTTCAGCACCAGGGGTGTTGAGAACCCTGCTTTGCTCAACCATCTTTATGGTGGTATTTTTGAGCTCTTCCTATAATATCACACACACAAAAATAAACATAGGAATATCAATGTAATAACAACAAATAACGGGCCGATGCATGTTTACGCGCAATGAGTATACCATCACTCACATACATACATTAGCTTTGAGGTGAGTAATGATTTTCAACCTCATGGAATCGATTGTGCCGTCGTTCATCAAAGTCCCCATTACATCTTCTGGCGTTATCACTGACGATGACGAAGGTGATGATTCCATCCTCAATCACCTGTTCAATTTATCTAGAATCAGCTAACTATATACAATACCACTAATAGAAAATATATAATAATATATTAAACAAAATTAGAAAAAATTGATATGTTACGAACAATAAGATCGATGAGCAGAGATTGGTGGAGAAAAAGTGGTTTTTCTATGCCAGCTTCAGAATTATTATCCTCCGTCAGATGTCTCAAAAGGTTGCTGGTTTTTACTTTGTTTTTTTTCACCTAGAACTCGATTCCGGTCAAGTTCTTTTCCTCTTACTTTCTGGCTTTATCAAGCCGTTTAGACATAGATGATATATTTTTAAATATTGCAAAAAAAAATTGTAAATAAATGTTTAGTTGAAACTATTTTGAAGGAATATTCTACTTCAATTTCAAATAGTTGTGAAAATTTTAACTTGAAACACCAATTTAAGCAACAAATTAGAAAGATGTTTAGTTTGTCTATACGAATCAGGTAAAGTTTGAAAAGTTTTGATATTTATTACTTAATCAATTTTTGGTGTATAAATTCATTCTTCTTGTTTTAAAGAATTACATGGAATCATCAATTATTCAAATATTATTGTGCAAAATAATATTTGAATAATTTGCCTAAATTTAATCTTCTTTTTCTAGCCTATAACATTAATTTTTAGATGGGAAAAGTCACCAACCACTTTTTTTATATGAATTAACCTAAATAGTTGTTCACTCAACCGTTTAAACAAAAACTAGCCGATGAATATATATTATATATGTATAACTATATATAACTATAGTATAATCTATGTGTACCGACTAAAAAATAAAGGCAGATTAACTTAAATGGCATCTATACTTATGCCACTTTGTCATGCCGGTCCCCGAACTTAACAACTTTTCAATTGAACACTTATACCCCTTCAAATCGTGTATAATAAACGCTTATGACATGAGGCTATCAATGCGTCTAATACAATCTCCTCCACGTTGGCTGCCACGTCAAAAAATAATAATGTGTAGATGCCATGTCACATGGTAGATTAAAAATAATTAAAATAAAAATAAAAAATAAAAAATAAAAACAAATTTCAAATATAAAAATCATCTATTCCGACCGATGCTTTTCTCGATTCCTCTTATCCTTACCTCATTGTCTTCTTATTTTATGTTTCTACTTAGATCCGGAACTTTGGCCGGAATTTTCGCAGACAGTGACTCTTATACTCCCTCCGTTCCAGTTTATGTGAACCTATTTTCTTTTTGGTCTGTTCCAAAAAGAATGAACCCTTTCTAAATTTGGAAACAATTTAGCTTAAACTTACAATTCCACCCTTAATGAGAAGCTCTTATAACCACACAAATATTCTGGGGCCCTTTTTGACTTGTTTAGGACCACTAATTCCAAGTCTTTATTTTTTCTTAAACACCGTGCCCAGTCAAACAGGTTCACATAAATTGGAACGGAGGGAGTACTATATTGTACTTCATCGATTGGGAGGTCGGTCACTTCAAGACAGGTGGTGGAGAGGCCTACATCGGCGAGAGTTAGGGTTTTGGAATTGGAGGCGGCGGAGGAGGCCTTGAGGTTTTTTAGGGTTTGGAGGATGGCGGAATCGGGTTTTAGCTTGGATTTGAAAAGGAGGGCGTCAGAATCGGAGTCGGAGTCGTGAGCTGCTCGCCGGCGTTTCTTCTTGTCTACCATTGATGACATAGATTACGACGGCGTTAGTGGATAAGTGGAGTTGAAAGAAGCGGGAAAGATGTAGGTCTTCTCTGGCTCATAGACAGGTCTTACCCGATGCAAATAATGATTTGCATTTATATTTGCAGGCGGTAATTAAATTAAAAAAAACAAGAATCTTTTATTTTTTGCTTGGGGAAGAAGTTTAAGTATATAGGAAAAACAAGAAAACAAAAAGGGGAGGGTGGGGGAAGAAGCTAACAGGAAAAAGAAAAATGGGGTGGGGTGCGCGGAATTTTGTTTTTTTACATATTTTATTATGTTTTATTTTTTATTCTTATTTTAAAATTATTTCTTGTTCAAAATGTCATATTCACGCTCGTTGTCTGCGTGAACTACACTCGTATTGTCCAGCTCAACCATTTTGTTGCTACATGTGCTTGGTCAACGGTCAGAGGGGTTTAAAATATAGGTTTTGATCAAGTTAAAGTGTTTGGATGAAACTTTGTAGATTATAGGAACCGAGATGACAAACCGAAATAAGTACAAGTGTCTAAGAGACTATTCTGCCAAAAAAAAATAATGAATATAATCAACTATTTGTGTAAAAGATCTACTTCTATGGGATAAAGAGACCACTACTTCTCCACCAGTCTCTCTGTTCATCGATCTTATTGTTCGTAACATATCAATTTTTTCTAATTTGGTTTAATCTATTGGAGTATATACTTTCTGTTAGTGGTATTATATATAGTTAGCTGATTCTAGATAAATTGAACAAGTGATTGAGGATGGAATCATCACCTTCGTCATCGTCAGTGATAACGCCAGAAGATGTAATGGGGACTTTGATGAACGATGGAACAATCGATTCCATGAGGTTGAAAATCATTACTCACCTCAAAGCTAATGTATGTACGTGAGTGAGGATATATCCATTGCGCGTAAACATGCATTAGCCCCTTATTTGTTGTCATTACATTGATATTCCTATGTTTTTTTTTTTTTTGTGTTTGTATGATATTATAGGAAGAGCTCAAAAATACCACCATAAAGATGGTTGAGCAAAGCAGGGTTCTCAACACCCCTGGTGCTGAAAAGCAGACCAAAAGAGAGCTATTTGATGCACTCCGGCAAGAACTTGAGTAAGTTTGTTATTTTTTCTGTTTTGTCTTCTGCATTATCTCAACAAGTTCAATTTGACAACACGAACTGAAACTAAAAGAATCATTTTATTAGGACTTTTGGGAATTATATACTTAACCTTTAGGGTGACCTAATACTCTCTTATCCTTATTTTTGTGGAACTAATAACACCTTAAAATCTGATATTGGCAAAAAATAAATAAAAATAAAAAGAAAGTGCCCCCCCCCCCCCCATTGTTCTATCTCTTCATACCGCCTTTTCAACTACCTCTCTTCTTCTCCTAGAAGCTCCTAATCTTTATCCTCTAATTCCATTAATATTTCTTTAGATATGAACCCAAATATCAAAACTAAAAAAAATTCATAAACAAAAAAGAGCCTCAATTAATATTTTTATCTTAATTATCCAACTCAATTCACCTTTAACTAATTCGAACTCTCAAAAAGCCAAAAATGAAGGTCTCGACAAATTTCACCTCCAATCATTTCCAATCAATAGTTAAATTGATTTTGAACTCCATTGAGTAAATATATTACTACCATATATAAATTGGAAGAGAAGGACGAACACGACTGTTTCAAATTGTACATTCTGCCTTGTCTATGTTTTCACTTTTGAATTGACAAAAAGATGTGCTTTGTTTTGAACAACTCTATTGGGAACCGACAATCTAAAATATAAACTCCACTAGATTTAAATTTCTTCAATGGAAATTTTTGGTCTCATCATATTCAAAATTTTCAGGTATTGAATTATTTTTCTCGTTTTATAATTCATCCTCTGTATTTTGTTTTCTTCCCCTTGGCTTCTGGATTCATTTTAAAAAAAATTATTTTTCTGTTTGTATGTGCCATTTTTCTATGTGCTTAGTTTTTCTATGCTGCTCTCTTGATGTGTATGTGAAAGTTTGATTCTATTCTTTTTCTTTTTTGAAATAAATTGATTTAGAATCTAGATTATGTGATTTACCATCTTCATTTTACCTCTGAAATTGTATTTGTGTTTATGCTTATTTTTCTTTAGCCAAGTGTGTTTGCTTTTAATAATTTGTTTCTCTCTTTCTTCATTCTTTGTAATCCTGTCATATATGTGGCTACCTGGTAAAATGTCTTTTCGAAAATTTTCTGCTTGGTACTGGCTGTCACACCTCCTTTTTACACACCCGAAAGGTATATAAGGTAGTTTTTTCAATTTAAGTGACATTATTCGAAATGGGATTATTTATTCAATTCAGAGTCGCCACTTGGAATATTTTAATTGGTGTTCCAAGTCACCGGTTTATTTTGAATCCCAAATCGAGGAAAATTCGACTTTCCTTTTGAAGTCTGCGAACCAGAAATTCTAGATAAGGAATTCTGTTAACCCGGGAGAAGGTGTTAGGCATTCCCGGATTCCGTGGTTCTAGCACGGTCGCTTAGCAATTTATACTTGGCTTAATTGTTTAACTACTCATTTTTAGACCTATGTGCAATTATCTTTTTACCGCTTTTAAATCACTTGATTATTCGTAATTAAGGAATTGAGTTACGCATACGTATACTCTTTTCCTTTGGCGCGTCAAAAATCATGTCACGCAAACGTGTCCACAATTAATAACGCTTTGTTTATTTTATTAAGAAAAGTTTTGGTTGAAGTTGCGCGAATGCATCCCTCAAGTCATTTTTTAGAATTAAATTTGCAATTATGTTACGCGAACGTATACATAATCACAATACTAGTCTAAATTGAGCCTAAAGCAAACTACGATTATTTAGGGTTATTTTAATACTAGGTTAATAATTATATGATGGCCATAGGTTATTTAATGGAAAATGGCACGCCTCAAACTATTTTTACTAAAAGGGGTTTGCATTTGACATGTACAAGCAGATTAATATTACAGAAGCAACAAAACAACAATTTCAAATCTAGGTGTGGCCTAATCTGAATTTTTGCTCAACAAAATAAAAAAAAGTTGCATCAATTTAACTAAATCATGTAACGAAGCAGTAGAGTAAAGACATAGGAGAAGAACTAGCTACAGATAAAGATAAATGATACATGTTACAAGCCAAATACTAGTAAAAATTCGATTCCGGGCACCTGATGCTTAATCCAAATTTACTTTATATGGAACATATTCAAAGATCCAAATATTGGGCAGATCGGACAATAAGTTCGTAGATTTTTGCAAAAAAAATGGTGTTAAAAGATAAGAAAGGAATGGACACATATCATTATTAATTATACCATAGATCTAGGTATAGCTAGGAATCCACTAATCACGAATATGCTCTTTAATTAATTAAATGGCAAGTGATGCATTTGTTTTTCCTTCTATTCGATGTGGTAAAACTATATACTGTAGTGGGTGGAAAAACTTTTTAGGTATAGGAACCTTTACCTAAACTTGCTAGCATCAAACCTTCATATCATTTTTTCCACTTTCGAAAAGTTACTTTGTTTTGGTACGGAAAAAAAAGAAATGAGAAATCTCAAAATAAATTGTTCTCTCGTCCTAAAGCTTCAGAACTTTAGCAAGAAATTTACGTTTCTTCCCAAAAAAAGCAAACTTTTAGGAACCGAGCAAATCCCCATAAGAAGAAAAGGCAGCTAGCAATTGTTCAAATTTCTTATGCAATCGAGAGTTAAAACTAGCAGTTCAAGACAGAGTAATGCATCTAAATTAACAAAAGAGGTGAAGAAGAATCACCGCAAATTAACATAATAAAATGCTTACAGTGCTTATTCTGCGCTCAGTAGCAATTAAATACAGAACACGGCAATCAAGGACCAAATAAAGGTCCGAAGAAGCTCAGCAGATCCAGACACAAACAGAATCAACAGACCATCAATTTTAACAGCTCGGTCGCTTGAGAAATACCAGAACCATGAACGAAAAGCTCAAAAATTGCAGAAAGTTGCGGTTTCAATCTTTCTTTTTTCGTTTTCTTTGCTTCTTTCTTTCAGATTCAGTTTTGTAAAATCCAAAATGGAGCTCTCCGTTGTTCTAGATATCTTATGTTAGGTCTAGTGATTTAAAGGAAAAGTGGGGAAAGGGAAGATTGGGCTGGGGTTTAAAAGCTAACTTGGGCCATTTTTTAAGAATTGGCCCAATTTTAAAAGAGACAAGACCAAAAATATATTATTCCTATTTTTATTTTCTTGTTTTCTTTTTTTTTTCTTTGATTTTAAATCTAATAAAATCTTAAATCAATCTAATTTGTAAAAATTAAAATTTTTTATCTATTAAAATAACTAATTAACTTAAAATTAAATAAAATACTATTTTCTAAAGACTAAAAGCTAAATATGTAAAAATGATCATTTTTGTGATTTTTCTTAATAAAATTAATTCCTACATGCAATTGGACCTAAGATGACATGAAATTAAAACGTGACATTTTTTATCATTTTTCTATGATTTTAAAATATTAAAAATGCACGAAATGCAACTAAATAAAGAAAAACTTCTAAAATCCCTTAAAAATCATATTTGATTTATTTTTAGGAGTTATTTTCATATAGGGCAAAAATCACGTGCTCACACTGGCCACAACCATTAAAATAAAATAATGACAACAAGGGAAGAGCTTTGATGCAACCAATGTGTTTGATGAAATGGAAAAGGATCAGATTTGTCCTTCTACTTTCAAAAATAGTTCATATATAACCTTTGTTATACTATGCGTACAAAAATATCCTTGCCGTTATCAAACTTGTTAAAAATACCCCTATTTCTAACAGATGTGCAACGTGGCAAAAATTTAACTTTTAAAATTGTATGTGACATGACATTTTGGGTGGGGTGGATGCTACATGGCGATCCATCTCACTACCAAACCTTAGTTTACCCCTCCCAAATTCCTTATCTTCTCCTTTCATGTGAATAGGTTGGAGCAAAGGAGCATTTCCAGAGATTATTTTTAGACCCATCACCTCGACACGATTTTGAACCTTAACTTTTGGTCAGATGTTTACATTAAAATTACTCACTAAACAAGATTATTTTCACAACTTATTTTGGAAAAATGTAAGAAAAACTCCAATTATATAAACCCATTTCCCCAAAAACGAAATGAGACAAAAACTTTTACCAGCAAAACTTTATACGCACAAGAAACAAAATGTAGTACTATACATTTATGCAATAATTTTCATTAAGTGTAGTTAATTACCCTAAGATGAGTATCAGTTTTGAAATCTGTATTAGAATGACACACTTCGTAATTACTATAAAAGATAAAATCGTTGAAGACACCATTGTAGAATTTGATGCCTTCTGGATTCACTTCTTAGATTACCTTTCCATCTTAAATAGTTATTTTACTTGTGTGATTTCTTTAGCCTTATGTTTCTGTGTGTGTGAAGTTTTCGCTAACTCTTTAATGGTGATTTTAGTTTTCTTTCAAATACATCCCCAAAAGCAGTAAGTAAATTTAAATTGAAGCACAAGGAATGATTTTTCAAATAATTTTAACAGTGGGTGACCAACAAACTTCAATTATCAGATTTCAAAATTTGAACTCCCAAGTTCTTCGGCTTCAAAATTGGAGTTCCAATGGATTGGTTTATTATTCTAATAAATATGAAAAAAATAAATACACACATGTAATACACCGTGTCATTTTAAAAGCTGCGTCCTTGCCACGTAGAACATCATTTAGAAATAGGGGTATTTCTAATAACTTTGCTAACGGTAGGGATGTTTTTGTTCACAAAGTATAACGAAGCCTAAATATGAACTATTTATAAAAGTAGAGGGATAAATTTGACCCTTTTCCCTTGATGAAATTCTCTATAAAAGGAAGATAGTTCTAGCAAGTCTGTTAACCTCTTCTCTTAATCAATCAGCTCTTGACATAGCAATGTACATTGAATGATGAAAACTTAATTTCTACTATTGATTGCAACTCTAAATTCTAATTGATTTTGTTAATGGTAAGTCTCTATGATCAATTGGTGTGGTTTATGTTGTACTTGATTGAATGTACAATCATTTAACTTAAAAAACTTTCAGCATTAATACCGTTTGTGCTGATAAAAGTACTCAATAAATTGAAGAAGTCCAAGTGCTCAAGTGCAAGTATAAGTAGACCTCTTGTCACGACCCAAATTCCACTAAGGGTCGTGATGGCGCCGGACGCCGCTGTCAGGCAAGCCAACCATAAATACTTAATTAAATTCTCATTTAAACAATTGTGAAAAACTCTAATTTTTTTTTCAATTTTTACTAGTACAAGATACTCAGTTCAAATTAAATAAACATGTCAAGAAGTCAATACAAAATACCCCATAACTATCCCAGAACCCGATGTCACAAGTGCATGAGCTATTTCTAGGAAACAATACAATACAACAACCGTCCGGAATACAAATTGGACAGAAAATAAATATAATAATCTGGAAGAGACTCTGCTGGCTGCGGGTCGTCTCGAGAAGTGCAGCTCACCTAAGTCTCCGCATCTTCCAAAAGCTTTTAAGGTTTTATCATGATGTTTGGTAAGTCCAAAAACATTTCAGCTGTTATCTCATACTACTATGACATGTCTAGCCCATTTGCCAAACACCAGGTTTGTGTATAACTGTATATTAGTATAATTATGGATTGATTAAAAGAAAATGATATGTTATCCCTTCGTTCATTCGGGTATTAAATTAAAGTCACGAAAAGGTCAAAGAAAAGCTATGTTAAAAGTAGGACTTGGCTTTACAGGTCTGGAAAAGACAACATATGAGTAGAAAATTTTCTTTCGGTGAAATTTTCTCAACAATAGGCATCATATTAGAAAATTCCTAACTCCCAACTTTCAGAGTAGCAAGCTTTGGACCATTAGGATGATACGAAAGTTACTCTTAGTACCAAGTTGTTAGGAGTCGTGACATCAAGAGAAAAAGAGAAATATTGTGCAGAAATGATAGTCTTTGAAGGATGTGCACAGGAAGTATTTTTATATCCCTACTTTGATTCGGCGTTACGTGTTCTTCGCAAAAGAAGTATATTGGAGGGATTGTTAAGAGAACCGACTCAGGTATGTTAAGGCTATTCCTTCTTTCTTTTTTGGTATAATCCAAGTAACGATACGTAAAAGTAATGCTATTTCATAAGTGGTTCTACCCTTAGTAGTTAGGGATATATACATTATTCATTCCTATAAAGTGATATTCAAGCATGTCTAAGTATGTTCCTAAGTCCCTATTGAGGTATATGATTAAAATGTTGAATGAAGTTGTGTATGGTATATGATGGAGAAGTTAATGTTTATAATATAGTGATACATGTACATGCATCTTCATGTATTTACCATCGTGCTACGGTCGGTCGGGCAGTCACCGCCGGTTGGGCAGTTACGTATCATTATTTACCGCCGGTTGGGCAGACATGCATATTAATTTGCCGCCGAGCTACGACCGGTTGGGCAGTTACACATTTACCACCAAGCTACGGTCAGTTGGGCAGTTACATATTCACTACCGAGCTACGGCCGGTTGGGCAGTTACATATTCACCACCGAGCTACGGGCCGGTCGGGCAGTCATGCATTTACCACCGCGCTACGGCCGGTCGGACAGTTACCACTGATCAGTTGGGCAGTCATGCATCATACGATATGAATAATAGTCTCAAAATGAAGCATTATATATGCAAGTATGAATATACGGTGGCGCTTCAGAGATGCAGGTTGATTATTACATGTCATTAATTAATGGTGACTTATTGTTATATTTAGGTTCTGCCTTACATACTCAGTACATTATTCGTACTGACGTCCTTTTGTTGGGGACGCTGCATTCATGCCTGCAGGTATAAATAATCCGTTTGACGAGCCCTCATCGTAGACGAGATTGGCATTCAGCGAAGGATCGGTAAGACTCCATCTCATTCGGAGTACAGCCGAGTCTATGAGTCATCATGTCAGAGTTTTGCTACAGACTTATGGGTAGGCCGGTACTCTGTCCCATTTGATGTCAGGCTATCTTAGAGGCTTTGTAGACAGAGGTTCATTTTTTTCAGTATGTCAGAGGCCTTGACGGCCCATATGTATTCATGATTTAAGAAAAATAGTTCAGTGATACAATGTTGCCCACATATAGTTATACATTACGAGTTGCGGCCATGTTGGCCCATGATAGTTACAAAAGGAATGAATAAGTTACAGAGTGGTTCGCTCGGGCCAGTGCGGCACCGGGTGCCAATCACGCCTCCCAAGGTTGGGGTGTGACACCCGGATTCCGAAATTTTTCGAAGATAAAGTTTACCCATGAACTCACGAACTCAAATATATGATTTTCTCTTAATTACATACCCAGAATCGTGGTCAAAATCCAAAATATCCCCCTTTTTTTTTCTAGGTTTTCCCTCAAACCCCAAGTTTCTACAAATTTCATGCTCAAATCAGTACATAATCAATTTATTTGACTCAAGATAGGGGGGGATAGCTTACCTTATCGTTGATGATGAAAACTCCCTCTTGAAACCCTCCAAGAATCGCCCAAGCCAAGAGAAAAATGAGAGAAAATGGCCAAATCCCAATTTTTAAAACACTCACTGCCTCCAGTCCTTTCGCACCTGCGGTCCCGCAGGTGCGGACCGATTGCCGTTTCTGCGGTCTTCCCCCAAGCCTTCAACTTCCGCATCTGTGCTTCTCCTTCTGCAGGTGCGGTCCCGCATCTGCGGTCCCAGCCTAGCCGTTAATTTCCGCTTCTGCGGCAAGAAGGCCGCTTCTACGGCTCCGCACCTGCGACCCTAGTTTCGCAGGTGCGGTTACACCAGCAACCAGCAATTTTAGCCTTCTCCAAAATTCTATTTTTGATCCGTTAACCACCCGGAATCCACCCTAGGCCCCCGGGACCCCAACCAATCATACCAACCAGTCCCAAAACACATTACGGACTTGCTCGAGGCCTCAAATCATATCAAACAACGCTAAAACCACGAATCGACCTCCAATCCAAGTTTTATGAACTTTAGAATTTCAAACTTCTACTTTCGATGTTTAAACCTATTAAATCACGCTCGATTGACCT